TGTAAACCCTGCATGTGATGGAAACCGGGTTCCAGCACCCATGGGCTGAACTGAACTTTATCTGGGGGCGCAGGAGGCCGCTCGCCTAATGCACTGAATGTTTGTAGGGTTACACCACCCCAGAGCTGGGCTCTGCAGTGCTGCCCGGGGGAGCACCCCACTCTGCTTTCTGGGGGGCCTGCAGTTAATTCCCCCCCTGGTTTTTGGGGTGTTTTTTAATTTCTGGGCAATGGGGCGGGTTTGAATGGGATGGGATCTATGACAATAATAGCTCCAGGCAGAGGTCCCAGCCAGGCGTGGCACCCAATTGAGGCAGGCTCTGTACAGACAGGCAGTCTGAGCTGCTGACCTGCCAAGATTGGTGCCTATGCTTACCGGGCTGCGGCGAGTAGGGCTACTGCAACGTGTAACGTCTTTGTGTGCCTCAGTCTTTGCAGGATTGGGGCCTGAATAGACGTGATTAGAATCCAGCACACCTTGCTCTGGCGAGCTTTAATAGAGACACTGCTGACATGAGCAAGGTCCTGATCCTGCCAGAAGAACTCTGCAGACAGACCCTAGGCCCACACACGGCCCCACTCACGTAAAAGGGGCTCTGCTCACACAGGATCGGGGCCTGCAATCCCCCACAGCATCTCTTGTCGTTAATCTGTAATGGGCGGATTAGCGAAGCACACCGTTCATCAGTAACTGTTATTGATAGCACACTTTGGGTGACTTAAGTTCTTTACAAATAATAATAATGGCTTTTCCCTGGTGCAAATAATGGATCTCATCAGTCAGGGAAGGTGTTTCTCTCAGGCTGTGGATACTGATCTCTGTGCACTGGCCCAGAGCCGGTGGTAAACTACCCTACTAATAATGATCCGCCAGCATCCTCCTGCAACCAAACTTCTAGCAGCTGATTCAATAGTGAGATACGCTTGCTGAGCTGCCAGATGGTTATAACTAGTTCTGGGGAAGCCTTTGGCACGCCCCAGAGCACCTCTCTTGTCTGTGTCTAAAGCTAAGAAAAAAATGTCATATCAGGGTGCTCACCATAAGGAAAGCATGAACGAATACACAGGTATCGCCAGAACAAAAATCAGAAAGCCAGACCTGAGCCTCCCTGGGCCAATGGGTCTTTGCACCTTTTTGCCAGCCTGTTGTCTGGGTTCACCAGGGGGCCTGGTGAAATTGCACTTTCAATCACATTTGTGAGTACTTGTGAAAAACAGGAGTTTTCACAGGTCTGCAAAGCAGGGCTTGGTTGTGTTGGGGGAGGGCCACCTGTAAGCCAAGTGGGAGGAGTCATGTGGTGCCTAGGCCATGTGCAGTGCAGTGAATTTCATCCTCTGTGCAGTGATGACCTGGCTTTAATTGAAAGTACCTTTGTATGTTACAATGGAGGGTTTCTTTTTGTAGATCGCATAGGGTGAGAACTGTGATTGTCAGCTCTTCGGAGCAGGCTCTGTCATTTGGGTTATGTTCGTGCAGCACGGGGGGCCTGGGGCACTACCATCGTGCAAATAATAACAACACTAATGAAAGGCACCAAAGGACCTGGAAAGCATCCCAGAGGTCAGTGCTGTTCACTCTCACCTAGCACTGTTCCTGCTGTGTCGCCCCCGCATGTGTTAGCCCTTAGTCAGGAGCAAAGGTGGTAGGGGAATATGTTTTGTTCCCATGAACATTTTCAGCAAAAATTAACAACTTTTCATTTTCATTAAACATTTTCTTTTAAAAAAAAAACCCAGTTTTTAGACTTTTTGTTTTTGTTTTCAGTTGCCACAAAATTTTGTCAGTTCATTGTCCACCTCCAAAATGTTGTCGAAAGCGGACATTTCCCACTGCGACAAAACCGCCGTGTCTTCACTGAAAAAAACATTCTGAATTAAAAATTTTGACTAGTTCTACGCAAGAGTCTAAAACCTCTGCATTATTTAATGACGAGCATCAAGTCGTATCTGCAAAGACAGAAGGCTGGTCTGCTGGCCATTTATACATGCTGCGTCTGCCTTCGGGCAGATCCATAGGCCTGTTCTGAGCTTCCACAGCCTTCTGCAAAGAGTTTGGTAATTTCGGCTCTGCAGTGGAGGGGCATTTCTCACTATGGATGGACCGCGTGTCTATACATTACGTGCACCGATTTTAATGAGCAGAGTTATTGAAAGAGGAAGGGCTCCTTCTATGCTAATATCTCCCTGGCTGAGTTGCAGAAAGATTTACCCTAATGGCAAACTTTAATTTGTCAGCGACAGGCTGTCACAAAATGCTGTAAAAATAGAGATAACGAAGACACAGCGACTCTGAAGAAGTGGAAATAGAAATGTTTTGGCAGCGTTGGCGGGGGGGGGGTTATTAATGGGCTGGTGGGGCTCATTTGTTATTGCTCAAAGCATGTTCATTTTTCATGAATAAATGTTGTGCATAGGGCAGGGAGTGGGAGGCAAAGGACGGAGACAAAGCCAGGAAAGGCGCCCACTGCTCTTCTGTCAGTGCCCGAAGCTCTCAATTGATCTGCCATCAGCTAAGGAGTCTGTCCGCCTGAGCGCTGACTGGGACACGTTTCTGAGACTGGCTTGCACCTTGCAGAGCGGGCTACAGCTCCATTGCACATTGACAGCTCAGCCCCCCCCCCCCCCCCGTGTTCCCTGCCAGGATTCATGTCCCCCCAGGCTCTGTCATGTCCCCCCGAGGCAAAGGCCTTATCTAGATTAGGATGTAAGGGGTGACGTTAGCACGTGTTAACTAGCGCACTGTAAAAGTCCAGTCTAGACAAGGCTGTGCGCCTTAGACGTGTTAAAGCCTAGGTCCCCCCCACCCCGACACCTTCACATGCTGGCAGGGGTGCGGGAACTCATAGAACAGCATTGCCAGTCCTGTATAAGCGGGAAGCCAGGCAGTTGGTGCTATTATTCCTTTAAGCCAGGGGGTGCTGCCACACGCCCAGCACCCCTCATTCTAGCACCCGAGCACTCTAGGCAAGCCAGAGAGGGGTGGGTGGGGCTCTCCTTGCAGCCCTGCCACACAGCTGCTCACAGACTCTAAGGCAGGCCACAGGATGAATGAATCCCTACTGGAGCCAGAGCACTGCTAGTTAGAAGCCATCCAACCTTGGCTGGAAAATAGCCAGTGATGGAGAATCCAGCCCAGCCCTTGGTGAATTGGCCCAGTGGCGAATTACCCTCACTGTAAACTTTGGGGCCTTGTTTCTATTCTGAATCCACTCCCAGCCAGTGGATCGTGTTAGACCTTTGCTCCAGAGGGAGTAGACGAGTTTCCCCCACACTCAGTCCCTGGGGCCTTTGCAGCAGCCGCAGCCACTGCTGACTCAAGCACCTACGGGAGAAACGAGTTGATTTCCCAATCCCCTCCCCCGCAGCTTTCCCAGAGCCGAGTGGGGAATTCAGCAGCTCCTCCTCTGCAGAGACAGGAGGGTCACAGCTGCAGCACGTGGCCCGTTTGGTGCAATCTACCATTTGGCAGGGCAACACTTCATACTGCCTATTAGCCAACCCACACTTGCAGTGTAAATGTTCAGCGCAGGGAGCAGAGAGCTACCCAGTGAAATCCCACCATGCTGAGCCCCACTTGCTGTGCGTGACAGATGGTTTCCACACACAGTGCTGACCATGGTTTCTCCAGTGGTTGGCTAGTCCCTTTCTCAGGGGAGCTTTGAATCATTATTATAACTCACGCAACTTCGTCCTGCTAGTACTATTTTATTTATGGTAGCACCCAAAGCTCCCAGTCAGGATCGGGCCCCGTTGTGCTGAGCACGGTACAAACCCGTTGCAGGAGGCAGTGCCCATGCAAAGCCCGGCGGGGCTCAAACCCCGCAGAGCCACTGGGTAGCAGCCAGCTCCATGCTGCCACCCAGTGGCAGCTGTAAGGAGCTTGTGCTCCACCGCTCATGACCCAGTGTGGGGACAGACCATGGGAAGTCCCGCCTCAAGGGATCTGACAGCCAGCCGCCTCATGGCTCCTGATTGGCTCCCTGCCCTATATAAACCCAAGGGGCATTCTGGGAAGCATCCAGGTAACAGGGTGGATCTCCTGTAGCTGCCCCAAACATCCCCGCTCCCGAGGTCCTGGCTTTGACCTCGGCTTGAGTTTGGATTTCACTCCTGACCAGTATCAGAGGGGTAGCCGTGTTAGTCTGAATCTGTAAAAAGCAACAGAGGGTCCTGTGGCACCTTTAAGACTAACAGAAGTATTGGGAGCATAAACTTTCGTGGGTTCTTACCCACTGTTACTCCTGACCAGGAGCCTGAAACCCAACTCTGATTCTTGGTATCGACCCTGGCCTGGAACTTGGCTAGGAACGCCTCTGTGGCTCTCAGGGGCGTGTGCAAGGTGGGGGCAATCAAGGACAGCCCCCCCCCAATAATCATTGGGGGCACAGAACTTCTCCAGCCCAGGGCTCTGGAGGGAGGGAAGATCGAGCTCCTCCTGGGGATGGCAGCAAGCTCCTTGTGGGGAAGAGGGCAGTGAGCTTCTGTGCCCCCCCCCAAAAAAAGGGGTCAAATTTTAATTCCTGCGCAGCGCCCTGGCTGCTCTCAGTCCCAGGTTTGACCCTTTTCTGACCCTTGGTCCCAACTCCCTTTGTGGG